ATATCTAATTATCTTAAACTGATAATATTTATGCAAATGTTCAAAATAATCTATACTAGTAGCTGGGCATATATCTTTTTTTTTTTTTTAAATAAATATTATAAATCAACCCGAAACGGGCATATAGATTCGATTACAAACTCGACTTGAACAAAATCACTTTATTCTAATGTTTCCTAACTAGCTTCGCTCAACCCATGTCCCCGGCGAGTTCCGCTAGATCGGTCTCATAATCCTAGAATATCGACTACCGTTCTCAACCTTTGACGATTACCACGGAAAGGAGAGATTGACCTCGTTTCCTCGGATGCCGGGGTCTTCCCGTGTCGTCTCCAGAATAGCTTGTACCCAATGGACTCATCAAAACTTGTAATCGTCTCCGTCAATGAAAGCACGAAACGAACAAAGAAGAGAGGCTGAAGAGGTACATACCATGAAAATTGCTCAACAACCGCTATACACCTCCACTTTGCCACAAAGACCAAGAAAGGAAGAGACACCGAAGAACTCCCTGCCAAAGACGGTCAGAAACCGCACTTATACCAAGACTTCCCGAGGGTCATCTAAGCCATGAACGGAGAAGCAAAAAACGGGCTTGAGATGACTGCTGCCACAAGAACCAGAAAAAGCTCCTAGACCTGCAATTAAGTAATTGGACAGCCTTATCATGAACAAACAAATGAGTGCTCATGATATTGGGATAAGCTGGCCAAAGAATGGTGTCACCGAAGAGGAATGAGACTCGCAGACCCCGAGAGCCTCAACACCCCTTGCCATACTCCGTCTCCGAGGACCGGAGAACGGATTACCAAAGCTGTCAAAAGACGGTTCCGGTGACCACAGAACCGAACCAAAACCAAGAACAACCGGAGCTTAACACCAAGAGAGCTCGTCGACTGAGCTGAAAGATGGTGAAAAGTGGAGCTTGAGCCAAGAAGAAGGGGAACAATGGAGAGAAAGCTTGCGTCACTGCATCGTAGTGGCCATAGACGACCACACTGACATCGCAGCCACACAGAGCTCCACGAGCCAACACCACCGGCAATGACACACGCCACCGCTGAGAGCTTAAAACCCGCCTTCGCGTTAGACTGAACCGCCGAAGCACCCACGGTGGGAGAAGACCGGACGCGTCTCTCCAGGACACCGAGGAGGAGACAAAGTCCGACAACCAACACCACTCCGGCCCAGATCGAAGAGATATAGCAGCCAACACACCGGATCTGGAACCAGGAACTGAACCTCCACCTCCACGCGCTGCCATCACACCAAGCAGCAAAGGGCCGCTTGCAACCCTAAAATCCGACTCCATCAACAACAACCACACCCTTCTCTGCGTCCAACACTCCAAACCAGACGACGACGCCGCAACCGGAGCTCCTCTCGAGCGGAGACGAAGGAGGAGCCGTCTTCAAAGCTCAGAGACGCGAACAAGGCAGAGAAAGTGAGAGAGTCTAGACGAAGCAAAGCACAAAATAGAAGGAGAGAAAAGAGGAAGACGCGTCCGACGCGGCACGCGCGCTCACGCGCCTCCGACGCCGGAGCTCACTGTGTAGATCTGAGGACTCGCGAGAGAGAAAGGTTGGGGAGGAGAGAGAGCTGGGCATATATCTTTAGACTCTCTGTCTTCTGCTTTTAGTGACAATGTAGAAGACATAGGCAAAAGCATGAATGAATAAAAAGAATAGCCTTACTTGGAGGAGCAGTAACTTTTGTCCTGAACAACTAATTATTGAAGGAAGAAGATTGATCGATACAGAAGCAATGAAATATTGGCTCAAGGGATTTCATGAAAACTTACAATTTAACATCAATGACGTGAATGAGAAATATGGCTCTCGTAACAAAACTGGACCAAGCTAAGAAGAAGAGACCAAATCCATGAGCACATCCAGTGGCTCGATCTTCCATAATCACCACTTGTAAAACCTCACCAAAACTCTGAAATTACTCTCGATATTCAGTTGTTTTCCAAGAGAGCCGACCGATGAACAGCTTACATGATTCTATTTTCATTCTGCAAAAGCATTTCCTGAGTATATATACATCTAGATAAACAGAAGATCCAAAAGAATCATCTGTTCTAAAAAGCTAAAGGAGGGAATTAGATTGACCTAACTTAGTGGTTTGTCTGCTTTTTTTTTGTTTCTAAATATGTAGCTTTTTGGCGTAATATGATCCATGTAAATAGAAAATATAGTGTGTTTATATATCTATCAAAGTGCAGAAATTTACCTGTCATATAGGTTTTGGAACACAGTACTTTCAGGTCATCTTGACAATCTAAACCACTGAGTCTAGAGGTATGCGGGGGCCAACCGAAACATAGGAGCTTGACAGAATTCATAGTTGGCCTAAATCCCTGTTGAAACCTGACCATGAATTCACTTTCTCACATAGATAATGGAAACCAAACTTAGGGGAGAAGAAGCTGTGCTGGAAAGTCTTATTGAAAAATGTTCAAGCAACGTCACTTACTACTCCCCACGTAAATCCAGAGTTCCTCACCAAAGTAATAACTTGCTCATGGTTCTCTTTCGTCTGAAACGACCGTCTAACCTCCGAATTATCCACACATCCAGATAATGCAGTTGAGATTTGACCTGGCAAACCATAAATTCCACATCAATGATCAAATTATGCAAATGTAGGCACACTATGAAATAGTTGAAACAAAGATTTTCATATCATACTTTCTTTCCTATCCAATGGTAGGAAGGTAAGCGAGAACACCTAAACGACATGCCAAACCAAATCCTACACCACAAATGTACATTCAGCGCCATACACTACAAAGCTTAAGATCCAGCAGACATAATAAACTAAGGTTAAAAAAAAATTGCCTTTTATACCTCGTGTATGATGTATTTCATTTCCAGCAACCATCAATACCTTTGAATTTAACGAAAGCAAAGCTAGACTTTTAGAAATGTAATAAAAGCATGGTTTAAGATTAGACAACTGTAAGATGAAAGCTGAGTATGGAACAGATGCTTATAATCCCTCATTTTTGAAGAATTTTCAAGAGAACATGATATTTTAACACGAAAAGCCCAATTTTTAGATACTGAGATACTTGACTAAGCAAATGAAAAAAGTAGAACACTAGATCACACACAAAGAAGGAGAAGAGGAACTCACAAAAGGCAAAAAAAAAACATAGACATCGAAGAGACAAACACGTGCCACGGAAGGGTTCTTCCTTGTAAAAACTTACGTCCACACCTCTAATGTACTTAATCATCTCCCATCGGTGAGATATTGCAATCGATGAAGGTAACTTCCATGGCAAGACATTTTTCGCGATCAATTTCTTCTTCAACTGACCTACACTATGACATCAAGAAATCACTAATCGATTTGATAGTTCGAAACCAAAAAAAAAACTTAGTGCGAAACATACTATGTCCAATTAATCCGACGAAGATTCGCTTGAAGCTTCTTCTCCATCCAAAGGTGAATGGAAAGCGGCAAAGCAAGAGAAACGCAGCTCTGATTTATCGACGATCAGTTGGAGAAGTGGAAAGGACGAAGAACAACATGAAAGGGAGGGATTTATTGTTCATCCACTCAGTTTTTCAGGGTTTCTCTTTGTTTGAGCCTAACGGGCCAGACATCTTAAACAAAATAGATGAAAAAAAGGAAGTCCAAAATCAGACCCATGTCGTGCTGAGCTGGCAAAATTAGACGCTCTTATTGGTTGATTTTCCCAGCTGACATGAACGCGATAAGAGGGTTTTATATCTTCTTTTTAGTATTGTTAGATTTTAAGAACAATATTTTTGTCAATTGTTTAAATACTCTTTTAAGGGTGTTTGTATGTGTCATGTTTAGGAATTGGCTCCAACAAATTCCAAAATAGGAGAAGAAAAAAATATTTTTTTACCATATTATTATTTCAAAATGGGCTTTACAGATTCCTAAACAGACAAATTGGGCCATAGGGTCAAAAGGTAAACCGAAGCTTGCTTTAGGACATAATGTTGCCACGTAAACACTTTTATGACGTTTGTCCAGAAAAAAAAAAAAAAAACACTTTTATGACGTAACTGAATATTCAAGATATAGGACCAGTGCTTATATGACCCACTTAACAA